TCAGAGGGCTTTACAACACACGGCAACTTCTGTTCTTGGGCCCTCACAGCAGATAAGGAAAAACTCTCCCCAAAATACTCAGGAAGAGCAACTAAGGACGAAGGACACAGGATGGATAAACGTGCAGTAGATGTTTCAAGATTTCATTATATTCCAGAGAAGGCAGATATCTATATCTCCAACAATCTAGACTGATAAACAGCACAACAGGTAAGAGTGAAAATATGTGGTTTTGATTTGGGGTGAACTGTCCCTTTAAAAGCTGCTTCATAGATGCGGCTGTTTTAAATCCTTGGTATAAGCGAAGCATTCTTGGGTGGAGGAAAGACGTGAACAGGATCATAAAGAAGTGTGTGTGGCTGGCAGGTAACAGCTGCTTTGATTTTAGCAGCTAACTTTTTTCAGATGGAAGATCTTGAATAGTTCTTATCCATGATAGCAGCTTGGCTCTGTCTCAGTCTGGGCTGATGTATAAAAACATCTATTGGATGGACTGTCATGAAATTCTGCCGGACCTTAATGGCCTCTAGAAGATGAATCCTACTCACTGTGGTGATTCTGCACTTTTCCTCTCGCTAGTAGGTGTTTATTCATTTTCAAAAGGGGGACCTGACATCTAGATGCCCTTGATTTGATTGTCTAATAATTGGCTAATTGGCTAGTAACATCATGTGAGAGTGGTCTGTGTGTCCCATAAACCAGCGCTACAAATGCTCCACCAGTTACAACAGAAGTGCTCTGTTGAAATTTAATATTTCTCAACAACTTATTGGTCATAGGTCTGAGTCTGGACATGGCAAATGGAGAACGATGGCAGGTTAACAAATGGGGGATGCATTTTGATCATTTTGCTAACAAGGCAGATAGTGTCCCCCCTCTTGTCCCCCCTCAAATCACCGACTATCTCTAGCACCGTCAATAGATCAAATGTACATTTGGCCAGTACTTTGGCTTATGACCAAATAAGTGTTAATGACATTCCCTTTAGATTCAGTTGTGCTTTGTCTCTGGTGCAAATGTTAGCATGCTAACATGCTTAACTAAAATGATCTACCAAACATCAACATGTTAAAACTGTCACTGAGCATTCTAGCAAGCTTTATTAGCTCTGAACTTCACTGTGCATAAGTAGCTTTTAGCGTGACTGTCGACTCCTGAGATATCTCCTGAGAGATATCCTCCGTTTTATTCAACACATTCTTCTTCTTTGTCAAAACCTAGAGCCTAAACTACCCACAGCCTGAATGCCGACAGTTATTAAGGAGATTTGGGTGTGCTATGCTGCAAGTATCTAGTGTAGCCTTGAGGCGTCAGCTGAAAGCAGAGATGAGGAGCTACAGAGGTCCGGTAAGTTCACTTCTTTCTGACACCACACCTCCAGAGCTGAACTTCTTGAAAGTGTAGTCACACATCATACATTAAATTCAGACTATCATCAACAAACCCAGAAGCTCTGCTGTTGCTCTGCAAGTTTCTCACTGCCAAAATGTGACGTAACCGACGCATTCTCCAAACAACACTTCTGAGCTACAGGCCTCGGCAAGTTGACTGACTAAAAGTGTTGCCTCGCTAACACTCTGCCTGCAGATAGAAATAGACCGTGCAGCTGCAGGTGGTCTGCCTGTCTTCTTCAATGTCATGAGTGGCTTTATCTCCAGTGTGTTAATAATTACAGACATCTGCCTGACCTTGGGCCAGTTAATTGTGGGAACTGCAAATCTGCATGGAGCACTGCTGCATTTAAATAAAGTCCGGTCTGCTATACTCCACATTTATAAGTGCTACATTGTCCTGCTTTGTGAAGCATGTCTCAAAATGATCACAACTGGTAAAACAGGAAGTATGTGCTCTATCTGTTTTGATGCGCTACGTTAAACTATGGCTGCACTCAAATCAAAACTGTGAGCTAAGCATTGAAGATAAGACTATTTCCTGTCTTCTGAATGACACTGCAAAGGCTGATTCTTCTGCAGCTCTCATAGATCTTTATTTAAACATCTCTTTATCTAAATTTTTCTCTTATATCTGCAAACTGTTTTGAATATCTTGTTATATTTTAGAGTTCTCTGAAGGCTGAGCCACAAATCAAATCATTTACATGCCTTTTAGCAACACTTTCTCCTGCAAAGCTCTCTTCCTGTGGCACGCAAACCTGCACAGAGCTGAAGACAAGGTTGTATTTCTTGCCCTATAAAAACAACACACCCTTCAATTAACTCATATAGTACTGTAAATTCAGTGGCACCTCAGGGCTCACTGTTGACATATCAAAGTTCAAGAAGAAAGAGAGGCAGTATCAAGTGTAGATTTGAATTTCAGAGAGCTAAAGTCCCCGCCTACATCTTACTGCATGAGTCACGGTTCGCCAAACAGGTCCCTCAGCTGAGATCAACTGACACTGAAGTGCAAAGTGACTGTATTTAAACACGTCGACTCCCTCTGCAACCATGTTACAAATAGCACACATTTTTTTTAAAAAACATTTCCACTGCTTTGATTTCCAAGAATAAATCAAGCTGCATTATTTCAAGAGGACTTCCTGTCAATATCTACAACAGCGCTGCCACTACGGATTATTTTATTATGAATGTATCTGAACAAAAATCCAAAGCTATTGCGTTTCTTAACATGTATGACAAAGACAAGCATAAAATACATAACTTAAATTATTTTTTGATGATCAAAATGGTTCCCAGCTCATTTTCTGTCGCTTGACTAATCCAATAATCACTGCAGGTCCGATAACTCTCTCCTCCTGAATCAGGAGGCCTGATCAACGGTCTGACTGGTCTGCAGCAAGGAAGGCTTAAGGGTGCCATTACCCTGAGATGAGGTCATACAACTGAGGGGCGTACGAGCCATAAATGTGACGGATGTGTTGCCAGGGCGGGTGCCAGCTCTGCGGAGTCATTTGACAGACTGGTTTTTAGAGTCTAGACTGCGGGAGGTTGAACTGTCACCACGCACACTGAGGAAGACTTCAGATCCATTTGTGTCTCTGTTCAACACTTATGACGGTGTGGGACGTCGATCTGCTCAGTCCAGTCTGTTCTACAGACTGGACGGGCTTTCCATCTGGAGTGTGATTCAGGACATGGGTGCCAAATCTATGTTTCTCATTCAGTGTAAAAATCAGGATGCTGCCACAGTCCGTCAAACCAAATTATGTGGTTGAAAAGATTGAGTTGATTAACTGCAACAAATTGATACTGATGGAAAGTTGGCATTAGCGCTGCAGCTAACAATTATTTTCGTTACTGACGGATCATTTAATAAAGTTAAATTAAAGCTGCAAGCAGCGATGAATGGGCACTTGCAAATTTGTGCACACTGAATGTTGCTGGCAGGACAGCAGTTGACACAGCCGTGCTTTTTTTGCCACTGTCAAACACTACACACACAATTTATATGTTGTTTGTTGCATCATCTGAAAGTCCTCAAACATGTTTATTAAATGAAAATTAACAAATGAAATCCAAGATGGCTGACTTCCTGTCCTGTCAAGGGGGAGAAGAATTTCTAAAAATTGTCATAACATATAGTATATGAAAGTTTTTACTTTCAAAACAACTGACAACTGACATAACCGGGGGACGTCATGAAGAATTTCCACTATTTTCTGACATGTTGAACACAAAACAATGTATTAAGAGAACTGGCAGATTACTCTCTTCATGATGAGAATAAATGCCCAAAATCCAAGATGGCTGACTTCCTGTCAGGGTGATAAAATTTCCAAAAATTTTCATATGCTTTTCAAGATGAGAGAAATGATCCACTCAAATTTTGTGACCATCAGAGGAACTCTTGTGCCAACCTTGGCCTGCATTTGGGGGCACTGTAGAGCCCACTGGCCACACCCAGGCCCAATCCCTTGAAGCATCCCTTGCCCCTTAAAAATGTGTTTACATGCCTGAAAAAAAAATCATAATCTCTACAAAAACAACACGTTCCTCACAGTTTCATAGCCAGGGACAGTTAAGCCCTGATACCTTCTTGCTTGGGCCCCAAAAATGGCCATCACAACTTTGCAGACCTTGAGTTGATGTTTTCAAATGTCTTGTTCGATTCGACCAAATGTCAAAACCCAAAATATTCTGATGACAATTACATATGATGAAGACAAGCAGCAAATCCTGTTATTTAAGAGGCTGGAATCAGAGAATATTTAACATTTTGTTCCCCATTATTGTTTGAAAAATTACAGAAACAACTATTTTATTATTAAAAATAGCTGCAGATTCATTTTGTGTTATTCTACTAATCATCTGATCTGATCATTTTTCAGCTCTGGTCAGCATCCAACATGAGTTATGTGCTGCTGCAGCATCATGTTGGCTCTCAAAGATGCTTGCACTGCTTCTATGCACTTAACAGAGATTGTCAATTTGTATCCCTTCAATTTAACTGCACTGCAAATGGAAAATGGATGTCCAGTAAGATGGACGGCCAGCTAGAAATACAACAATAAGATATGGGCCTGCAGTGAAGAGTGCTTTTATTAACTGTCAATCTGCCAGTTAATTGTTGTGTGTCTAACATGTCAGAAAATAGTGGGAATTCTTCCTCAAATGTCTTGTTGTGTCAGACCAACCGGGTCAAAAGCCAAATATATCCAGTTTACTATCATTTATGTCAAAGACAACTTAAGAGGCTGGAACCAATAAACGTTTGGCATTTCTGCATTTAAAATGACTACAATGATTAATCGATTATCAAAATAGTTACTGACTATTACATTAATATACCTATCTTTGCAGCTCTTACTGTAAGGGTATGACTAATGAGTATTTCTTGAGAAAAAAATCCATACTTTTCTGTAATAAAATGACTTTTCAGGGCTTTTAAACAAACTTATTGGTGTTTTGTGTGTGTAAATGTTTTAGGCGATTTACTACAAATCACACGTACAACAGGCTGAAAGGTTAGATAAACACTTTCAAGTATTTTCGTGACGCAAAGTATCTTGGTCTGTAGTGAATCAGCTGACCCTGACCTACCTAATGACAGGGCCCAGCAGCAGCAGGTGCAGGAACAGGACCAGAGGCCGGTCCCGGCCCAGGTCTCTGTGGATGAACGTCAGGGCCAGCTGGATGAGCACGGCGGGCAGCAGCATGAAGGTGATGGTGAAGCTCATCCAGATGGTATCGTCGGTCTTGTGGTACATGCTGCAGAGCACAGCGGCGGCGATGAACTCTGCAAGGTAGAGCACGGTGGCCAGCACGACACTGAAGGGAGCCCGGATCCGGCTGTGATTGACCACCAGCATGACTCCGTTCTCCGCCACCACGGTGGAGGACTCCTGCGGGTCCATGTCCGAAATCTCCCTCTCCTGCTCCTCCATGGCCACTTCGCACATAATATTACTAAGTTAGTATGCCAGAGATGATTTACACGTCACTAACGCTGGCGTTAAACTGAAGTTGCCGTCGCGTGCTCCAGTAACATCACTTTTTCTGAGTGCTTCCTTTGATGCGCCGTCGCTCCCAACTTTCCACCAAGTTGATCATCGCTGGTTTCACATTGTGTTTAACTTCACCTCTCGGCTGCACCCCCACACGAAGCTTTTGTTTGCTTGTGTCGTGTATCGTCGTACGTGGCGTCACCACCCTGTTTGATCCCGAGGAAAGCACCTCACAGCCCGCAGTAATAGCAGCGCTGTCGTCGCACCGTCAGTGCGGCGGTTCAGCCGCGTCATGCAGGACCCACCTCACAATAACTCAGCCGGAGATCATCGTTCAAACTCAGAAGTCATGTGAAGCTTTAACTTTGTTGTTCCTGGTTATAAACACATCGGGCTCCTCCAGCTGTGGAGTCTGGCTGCAGGCTGTGGGAGGACTGGGTGTCTCCGTGTTGGCGTACTGGTGCGGCTGCCGGCAGCTCGTGTTCAGTCTTTTGATGCGCTGTCAGTGAAACAGCTGCGTCAAGTCACACACAAACACGGGGGGCGGAACCGGAAATGACGGGCGGCTGCCTTCAAAGTAAAATAGATAAAATAAAAACTTTACTCAAAGAAAGATTTCTGTGATAAGCAGCTGTGCATTGTTTTGTATTGTTATTTTCTGTTTTCAGGTCAGTTTAGTTTCGGTCAGTTTCCAGAGTGGAATCTCGTTTCAGTTTTGTTTTATTGTTTACACTGTTTTTAGTTTTGGTTTCAGTATTAGTTTTCTTTTTATTATATTATGGGCAGGCATTACAATTCAAGCACAACCTTTTGTGAAGGCAGTTGACTCAGTCATGTGGACATCCCAGTCTCATAAGCACCAATGTTTCCTGGTGTGTTGTGTTGACACATTTGACTGACAAAGAGTAAAACTAAAACCATTTCCTGTATATTTATATATATTTTAGAACTTTTTAAAAGTCCTTTATCTACCAAATTGACTTCTCTTAATTAATATTCATTGAACAACCATCTTCCATCTCTACAATCATCATCCAAATTATTGTTATTTAAAAAAACATCTTTAAAGGACTCTAATTTGCAAAGAATCTTAACACCTTGGTGATTCACTTGTAATTTGTTTGTGTTTTTGTTGTTATTGTTGTAGACTGTACATCTTTAACAATTTTGCAATACGTCTTAGTCTCGATCTCCTATTCAATTGCTTTTATCTTTTTCCTTTTTATGTATGATTATTGTTATTTAATAGGGGAAGTATCTTTCCTGCATTTTCTGCAAATGTATGTGAAACTAAACTAAACTAAATATATTTTAGTTAGTAATGTAAGTACAGTATCATTCCCCTTTGTTCCCCTTTTTTTCTGAAGTCTAGTTATTTTTAAAGCAGTTAACTAAAATGTTCTTTGACACCTACCTTTACTTTTAGGTTTAGTTTTATTTAACTATAATAACCTAATAAGTAGTTCCTGTAATAAACGGTGCACAAATCCACTGTTTCATTTCTCTAAACTGTACTGCTATATTGTTTTATTGTATCCTTCTTAAAACTTGATTTTATTCCATATTTTATTCCATATTTTTTTATGATTTATATGATATTCAAATCAGTTGCAACACATGGTCTATGTAATACAATCCACCACAACAACAAAACAACCCCCCGACCCATCCCACCCGTAACCAAGAGGGGTCATCCTACCTATAGAGTAGCTCGCAAATCATGAATATACTACACACATTACTAACCAAAGAGAGACATGATGGGGCATAATAAATAAAATTCTGTAAGTAAGCTGGAAGGAAAATGAATAAATAAAAAACTAAATAAGTAAATAAATTAAAAAATGTTTGAAATGAAATAAAATTAAACTTGCAATTGAGTCACATGCCCATCATATATCAAACCTATTCATCACAAACAATGTGTTGTTGTTTTATATATATATATATATATATATATACACACACACACACACTAGTACATCTCTAGTGTCCAGATACCTGCCCCACTTCAGGTGATATTTTTCTGTTTTGGCCATAAACAAAGTGTAGAGCATTGGTTAAAATATTCCACATTACAAGCAATTGATAAACTCTAAAGAAAGATACACTTACTGTTACACTAAATAAAAAGCTTAGAAACATACAGTATGGATTAAACTGAAAGGGAAAACACTACATTTTTATGTAAACAGAGCAGAACAGGGATGTGAATCTGCAATACAAATATTAGCCTACATACCATGTTCACGGAAACTAGGGAAGGAAAACACCAAATGATCTCACTGCATGTAGAGGAGGGAAAAGAAACTGGAAATATGCTCACATTTATCTGGTGCATGGTTCGGCTATTTTGAGCAGCCCCACATGTGGTGTCTTGCCAGGTCACTTTGGCTTTGAGTATTACTACTACACTGTAACTACGTCTACTACTACTGCTGTATGTCTAATACTACTACCTCTACTCAAAAGCCTTCTCAGTCCATTTAAAATAACAACAATAATCAGTTAAAAAATAAGGATCCACTGTGAATTAAGAAGAACTTGACATTTTATTTGCACGTCACTCTCCCTGGGCGTCTTGTGCCAAACTATCTGCTACTGATACAGTGACAACATGCACTGTAGTTTTATTACATCCAGTATTTGTCCCGTCCAAGTGGGAGCACAGTGGAGAGGGTGAGCAGAGAGAGATCAGTTTCTCTGCGCTTCCATTTTTAGTTTCCACCAGCAGGGAGGACTTGGCCTTGTTATGGTGACCTGCAGGCCTGCGACTGAAGCAGCCACACAAACAGGTGCAGCACACTTAAACACACACACACTGAATGAACTACTCAAACTGCACTCCATCTTCTCATTCACTTTTCACTCTGACAGTTCCTCATTATGTCACTATTTGTTAAAGCTGCAGGGTCATTAAAACAATTATGTTTTGTGACCCAGAACACAACCAGTTTGATGTTTGCTCAACTGCTTATGCAAACAAGGACAGTCGGTTTGGAAGGGGCATGAGAAAGGCACAATCTGTGGTGGAGTAACATTTCCATTGCAAAACTTCTTGCTGCTTAGGTCTATGTCAACATGACCCGTCACCTTAAATGAACCTTTACAAAAAAACAATTTCAACTTCCAGTATGGTAGATTTAACTATGCAGCCACTTCCATTATAACTACAAAACAATTGTGTGTCTCCCCATGAACTGTGGTACAGTTTCACCACAGCTCACTCCAAACATGCAGACCTCTTCCTGTCTAATCAGATCTCATCAGTGGTCGGCAAACCTTCCAAGGCTTGTCATTACTAATGCATGTGTTTGTTGAAGCAGTGGTGTGGGTCAGTGACTTCAGACTGCAGAGGCTGTGCGGGGACAGGGGGAAGAGGAAGATGGAAACCTCATTACTGGGCACCAGACATGTGCACAGTGTTACCAGCCAAGCAGGTCAGTGAAAGGGCACGCTGCTTGTCATTGTTTCAAATTCTTTACGAGAGTCATTTTCTGATTTTTAAAGGGATAGTTCAACATTTTGGGAAATATGCCTTTGCTTTCTTGCTGTAGCTAAGTTAGATGAGAAGATACCAGAAGCTACAGTCAGGAGATAGTTAGCTTAGCTTAGCTTAGTGTTAATGGAAACATCCCACAGAGCATAAAGTACCTTCACATTCTCTTGGTGCGTTCCATTTGCACTGGAAAGTTCGAATTTCCAAGTTCCCAATCAGAAATTTCAACTGGAACATCCAAACACAAAGTCAGATTTCCAACTCAGAAAGATGGTGGATGACCTCAGAATCCAATGTGGCTGCTTCACACATCAACAGTAGTGAAAGCTGTAGTAATATACTGTTTTCAAGCACGTTAGTCTCATTGCCGTTTCATTAAAACAGTCATACACACAATACTGTCCAACTTTTATCTGTGAGCATGTTGCTATTGTGAGTGTATGCCAAAAACACAGTGCAATGCATTGTAATCAACTGGTATTGCTAACAGCTAACCTGGCTAGAACCATGGATGTACTGAGAAAACTGGATACAGCACTGAAGGTGGGACTCTGTTTATTCCTATGAAAGCTGCTCCTTGGAAGCCAAAAAAGCTCTGTTTTCATGGTATGAAATTACCCGGATCATCGGTGCTGCTTCTGCATCATTGAGCCCACAGAATAAGTGCAGTAGAGATTTCTGCTCACTGAGCCAGCTACTTCCAGATTAGCGCTATGCTAACCTGAATGGGGATAAAATTATTCAATTTTGCAGCTCTTCTCAACTTCCAATAATTTACAGTTGTCTCTTTCGCAATGTAAGTCTATACAAAGAAGTCTTGTTGGGCCCAAGTGCATCACGGAGCTGGTAAGCACATTACTATTACAGCCGGGGTAGCTGTTTCCCCCTGCCTCCGGCCTTTATGTTGAGCTAACTGGTTCATAGCTTCATATAAATGTATTCATTAATTAATTTTTTGTAACCACTTATCCTCTTAAGGGTCACAGGTTTGCTGGGGCCTGTCCCCAGTGACAATGGGCGGGATACACCCTATAAAGGTCTCCAGACTGTCACAGGGCTGACACATAGAGACAGACAAGCACTCACTCTCGCATTCTCACCGATGGCAATTTAAAGTTACCAATTAACCTGCATGTTTTTGGACTGTGGGAGGAAGCCAGAGTACCCAGAGAAACTGGGAGAACATGCAAACTCCACACTGGAGGGCTCCAGCTGGCCAGCTAGTTTCAACCTTGAACCCTCTTGCTGTGAGGCAACAGTGCTAACCACTGCACCACCATCACCAGCTCCATATTTAGTACACAAATTTTGTTTAATCTTTATTTGTGTAGGGAAAATCTAAGTTAATTTGTGATGCCAATGGCTAGATGGGCCATTTAAAAAGCATAAAACTCAAGATAAAACACACAATATGTGGTAGAATACAAAAACGCAACAATAAATACTGTATGTAAATTAAGAACACAAAACTCAGAGCTCAACAGGACAATACAGCAAAACAACAAAAGACACAGACTATAATACAATAAAACGCCAAAAACGAGAAGCAGCAGATTCTTCATTCATGACTGATTTCTCTTCAAAAACTGTTTCAAGTATTAATTTTCTTAACTCACTCTGGGCTAGGGAGTGAATAGGCATATTTCCTAAAATATCTAACTGTTCCTTTAATGTTAATTTATTACAGCAGAAGCAGTGAAGACGTCCAGCTGAAACCCAGATTGCAGAATCAGCAGTGGGGGTCTTTGAAGCATGTTTGCAATGTGGAGAACAGCAGCAGATGAGGGTGTGGTCCTCAGCTGCTGCTGTTTTTGCTGTGTGTGCGTACATGTGTGGGGGTGTTTGAGCGCGCGCGCGTGCGCGTGTGTGTGTGTGTGTGTGTGTGTGTGTCAGTGTCAGCTGATGCACGGCTGTGGCCAGAGTCTGGGATGAGTCTACTCAGCAGAGAAGGGCAGAGTCTGATTGGACATTGGTTTAATGACATAATGAGATAAGGCCTGCACACAAACAATAACTGCAGGTCT